GTTGGTTCGAATTTTTAAGGCTATTCGGAGACGAAAGCAGACGACAGAACATTGCTAGAGACCAGGAACGGGAGCGAAAGGATTCAATTTGAGAGAAGATTAATGTTTCCGTTGCTACCCAGGACCTTTGAATGAGAGGCCAACATCTTAACCTCTAGGCCACGAGAGCTCCAGAATAAAAATCTGTATTCCTATATACTGCAACGTAAGACAGAGTGAAGTGGAGTTCCGTGATCACCCACGCCAGTCGGCAAGGCACGGGATGATAATTATTATTCCAATATGATATACTTATATAGCTACGTATATTTTTAATGTCATTTTAACTAAGAATGCCAGTCTCTCTATAGTGGACGAATGCCCTCTCAACTGTCCCTTCCTTGCCCGTCAGTTGGGCCTAAAAAGCGTCAAACGGCGCAATATCTTATTGTTCAGGAGTGAATCTGAATTACGTCAGGGTGCACGTGGGTGGTTGGAGAGCGCCACTCGTAGGTCCTACTTCTTTACTTTCCCCTCTGTTGTTTCAGTCCGTCTATCTTTTTTTCTCCCCAGCATTAAATGACCATTATTGTGTCGATGTGCTTCTCTTTACTCAAACAAGCAAATATCAGAGTGCGTGCACAGTGTAAGGTTGTTTTTAAAAAAATGTATAGTAGAGGGTTTTACGGCGCTCGCAACTGCATAAGGACATATGAGCGCCAAAGGGTGGGTGTCAACAGAGAAGTCTTCACAGGGAATCAGACTTATTCTGCTCACCTCTGTAGCTTCAACAGCACAAGGTCTGCTTCGACTATCAAGGCACCCCGGAAATAGCAAGTCACAAGAAAGTGACATACATACAGAAGAAGTAGAGGAAAATGACAATAGTAAGGATTAAGAAAGAAAAAGCATCAGTTCCCTGTTGTAGATCGGGCATAGTTATGGGCGTGACATGAATCAGCCCATTTACAATTCTACTGCTCTTGAACAAGAACTTTTTTAATGTCCCCACTTTGGGAATGGCCTAAAGACACTACAGTCAGTGGCACTGCCCCGGGGGGTTAATGTAAGGGTTAACCAGAATTACGACACTGCACCCAATTTTGGAGAGAACCGGAATTACGTCAGAGCGCACAATCTAGGATATTATTGTATTATGATTCTATGGCATAATGAATGTTCAATTCAGTAACATGATATTTTGACATTGGTCGGGAACATCTCCAGTGTGTAGCTTGGGGAAGATCCAGAATTACGTCAGAGCTAACAATCTAGGGCTTATTATTGTGTTATAATTCTATGGTATAATCAAGGTACAAAATGTTGTTACCTGATATTTGTGGGGAACATTCCCGGTTTGTAGCTTAGGGGGAAACCCAGAATCATGTCAGAGCTGACAATCTAACGTAACATTGTTTTATAATGCTATGGTATAATGAAGGAACAGTATCGTATAGTTACCTGATATTTGCGGGTAACATTTCCGGTGTGTAATCTAGAAATAACGTCAGAGTTAACAATCTAGGATATTGTATTGTGTTATAATTCTATGGTGTAATCAAGATACACAATGTCGTTACCTGATATTGGTGGGGAACATTTCCGGTGTGTAGTGGAAGACCGCGTCAAAACTGCCAGTGGCGCCTATCATGGCGATGAGGGAGGAGGCGAGGGTGAGGTTCTCATAGAGGTGGGAGGCTGGGGAGGGAGAGAGGAGGTAACTAGTGAGAGAGGGTGAGGTGGGGATTGAGAGAGAGAGAGAGAGAGAGAGAGAGAGGGGGGAGAGAGATAGTAGAGAGAGAGACAGAGAGAGAGAGGAGAGATAGTAGAGAGAGACAGAGAGAGAGAGAGAGAGAGAA